CTACAACCACCTTAAAGCCTTTTAATATCATATAAACGAGAAGTAAACATAAGTCCGATAATTTAAAATTTCTACGTGTTTGAGCATATATTTCCACAGAAGCGATCAAGTTTTATCTTGATCCTCTCATAAGTTCATTTATGACTGCGTTCATTCACAAAGTGCACAGTCAAGGTTTTTGAGAGACTGTACAGTTATGGTCTATTACGATATTAGTACTGCTCTAATAATAGACCTAGTCCTAAAATTGTAGATTTGTCATGATGTAACTGCTTAATCCATAAGATCTTACGTGGAAAACACATAATTTTCTAAACTGACTCATCATATCTTAAAATTGCTAATATATGATGGAGAATAAGCTTAGGTTAGAGATAGAACAATATATTTAATATAAGTAAAAGATATAAGGTAACATTCAACAGGGACCACGCCTACAAGGCTGAACCATGCCATCCGATCAATTCTAATTAATTCAACTCATTGTTCCCGCTCTCTTCATCGTTGGGTTTTTCTCCGCGTCAAATATTGAATATCTAGTTTCCCAGTTGTCTTGTATTCAGCTTTGAGGATTGTGTTGTTAGGGCACAGTGCCAATACAAGGTAGTGACATCATGAAGAAACTACAACTGTGGGATAGGTCTATTATTCTAATGACAAAGAAAAAAGCATCTAGTACCAATTGATATTCAACATTTAACCCGGAGAGAAACCCAACGATAGAGAAGGAGGGAATAATGAATCCAATTAGTTCAAGTTGGTCGAATGGCGTGGCTCGGTCTTGCAGGAGTGGTCCAACTTATCTAACGGTCTTTTATCGATAATAAATATATAGTCCTATCTCCAGAATAAATCTGTTCTTCATCATATATATATATGAAGCGCACCCACCAAGTAAAATCAAAAGACATAAGTGAGGAGATCGAAGATATATTTGATAAGCTATCAATATATCGAGGATCCTTTGCACTAATCTGGCTAGCGACTGCGGCAGATGTTGAGCACGGCGTTCCCACACGTGATCTGGTGCGGATGCTTGACCGAGCGCCCTCAGCTAGATGAGTCCATTAAAACCGTGGTCAGCATCTAATGTCGAAAACTTACAGAGCTATTTGATTTTGGGGAATTATTTACCGCGTTTTTTAGCGAGTGTGTTAAGACAGTTCTACTGTATGGGGCGGAAACCTGGAAAACTACGAAATCCATCGTCCAAAAGATACAGGTGTTTATTAACAGTTGTCTACGCAAAATACTTCAGATCCGCTGGCCGGACACCATAAGTAACAACCTACTGTGGGAGAGAACAAATCAGATCCCAGTGGAGGAAGAAATCAGGAAGAAGCGCTGGAAGTGGATAGGACACACAATGAGGAAAGCAGCGAACTGCGTCACAAGACAAGCCCTCATATGGAATCCTCAAGGTCGGAGGAAGAGAGGAAGACCAAAGAATACATTACGCCGGGAAATGGAGATAGATATGAGAAAAATGAACAAGAATTGGATGAAACTAGAAAAGAAGGCCCAGGACAGAGTGGGTTGGAGAATGCTGGTCGGCGGCCTATGCTCCATTGGGAGTAACAGGCGTAAGTAAGTAAGTAAGTAATTATTTACCGCTACAATCTTCTAAATTGAGCAGTTACATCATGACAAATCTACAATTTTAGGATTAGATATATTATTAGAGTAGTACTAGTATCTAAGTAGACCATAATTCTACAACCTTACCTACCAGACTTTACGTGGAAGTCGCATTAATATCTACGATAACTCGTCGTATCGTGAGTGATTGCTGCTAAGAATTCTTGAAGAACAAATTTATTAGGAAGAACAAGAGGTTGCGTAGAGTGGTCACAGCTTCATGGGCACGTCATGCCATGTAGATCAAGTTTTCCGCACTCACCATTTCAAACCTCTACGAGTTAAATGTCAAGTCTAGATCTGCTCAGTTGTCATTTGTTCAGTTTCACGAACCGTATGGCTAATAAACCATTCCTTCCGCATTCAAACCTATATAAAATAATTACGTACGTCTCTAACTTATATTTTCAAGACAACTATTCAATGGTGTTGATATCTATCATAATTTTTAGCATTTACGAGAACCACTACCTATTGATATTTATTCCGCCGTCCAAATGATATATTTGTGCTAGGGCGGGTACAAACCATTTTTATAGGTATGATTTACAATTTATAACGCTAGTTTGCAGAAAAGTTGCTTTTCAATGAGGATTTTTAAGAAAGTAAAATCAATGTAAATAAAAGGCAACAGATTCATGTAGATGTTGCAGAGGGTTTAGTTTTTTAGTATTGCACTATGAGTGCAGTTTTTATAACCTTTCACTAAAGTTGGATCACGTCTATGTTGCACACTAGGTCCGAATTCAGAATTAATGTGTTCAAATTCTTGTCCTGTCAAGTATTTATATGATACAACATTTTAAGAAGTTTATAGTTGTTGTAAGGTTGAGGTAAGTTACTCATAAACCTGTCATTCAGTTTTTTATCTTGAGTGTTCCAATTATTTACACTTTGTCCCTTATCATTCATTTTGCGTCAGGCTAGACCTCCCCAGCACTCTTAGGGGCACACTGAATAAGCATGAGAAGTCTGTTTGAGCTGATGACTGCTTAGCTTACATGGCAACAGAACTGATGAACTCACTCCCTTGGGAATGGAAAGCACTTACAATGTATGAGAATTTAGTAAGGTAACAGTCTTAGTAGCTCGAACATACCTGGGGCTGAACGTACTGTTCATACATAAAGGTTGTTTTGTAAGGACTATTGATTTGACGATATGAACCATGCATATCACCAGCTTCTTCCAACACATTCGAAATTCATTTTCTCAGCTCTTAATATAACCATGTGTGTAGTATCTTGATTCTCACTGGCCACACGAAACCCCTATATTGATATCTTGTCAGTTAGATATTTCTAAGATGCTGTGATGTTATTTGGAAAGAATGGCATACCAGAGTTACTGGCAGATGCTGTTCCATTTGATCACATAACCAACTTATTTGAAGTCGATTTTCTGGGTTTTTGACGAAGTCCACCTAGATAATCAATCATAAACAGTGTGATGCATGGAGGGATTTTCATAAACAAGCATAGCTATACATGCAAAGTTATACACAAAACGATTCGCAATGATTCTTCTCTAAATTTAAGTGAATTCTAGAGATGAAATTCTATAACCATGTATATATCCGTGGTTTATCATCCTTTATCTGGAACACTGGTTAATTATCCCCATTTACGATTTGAATTTGACATCACAGTTACTTTTAGTATCATTATATGCAACACGACATACAAACTTGTCTGTTGTATTTTTTCGTCAGGCGCTTGTATATTTTCATCTTGTTGCTTCTATGATCTTTAATGAACGAATAAACTTATTAGTTATAGAAATAGACTTCTATTTTATGTCTGGTCTTTTTTATCCTGGTTTAAAAATCTTCCGTAATACAAACAATCAGTTGACTGACCTGTAACGTGATAGGCGATGCTTCTAGCAATCGCACAAACCAAGTCCTCTCACTTGTTCACAAGGCATTATCCTCCAGAAGATTGTCAATCTCACAAATAGTGGCTCAGATGAATGTCACAACTACTTAGATTTAGTTTTACTTAAAATTTGCAACACCTTCATGTCAGACAGCGAGTGTAGTGATTGCTAACCAACTGCATTTAGTTATATATATGTTGGATGACAGGATCCTCCCATCCTCACCCAAGTTCCAATAAATTCACTGATATATAAACAGCAGTGTCAGATGTGTGAATGAAATAAATTTGATAAGGTCATCTGATTCGACGGACATCTGAAGCATTCTGAAAACTGCATTTTTCCCAATAAGAGTATCTTCATTTGAATATTTAGTACTTCCAGTGATGTAATCGGAACGTATTTATTTGAAATACTACAAGGGATTTTCAGCATGGACATAATCTTAGCCTTAGGTTCCGAGTAGTCATTCTTATTGTAAGAATCTTATGGGAATGTTACTCACCATTTTCTGTAATGTTGCATGATATTTCATCAAAGCAACACTAGAAGTCCTGGGCTAGCTATATCTCATGTTGGTGATCTTACCTTCTATATAAACAACTTTCAAGTGTCCTTGGTTTCATCGTGTGAAGTCTCATACAATTGGACTCTGCCAAAGGAGACGGATTTAGGTGTACTTCTTTGGTGAAGTCTGATATTTTTTACCTATCTCGACATTCATAAGGAACAATTAGTAGGTTCATGTGAGATTGTCCCTGATGCGATAAAAATGGGGCGCTTCCAAGAGCGCCTCTTGATATACTTTACACAAGTGAACAAAATATTTCATTTCAGTTTTGGTCAGTGCTGATCCCGACTGTTTTACAGGCATTAAACAGTGCAGATTTGTTGCGGTGGAGCAGTGAAACATTAGTAACGGGGTGGAACTATGTCCTTTATATATGTTAATAGTTAAGCGAACTAATGTACGAAAGGGTTCTCCAATGCTCAACGTTACAGAACCTTATGTGCTTGAGTGAAATCGTGGTTGCGTAGCACAAGGTACGATGATAAACGACAAAAATATTAGACCGTCAAGGATTAATTCACGAGATGGAATCATAAAATCCAGCTGTAATCGGTCTCATGGGCTTAAATCATATATGGGGCCATTTTACTTATGGAGAGACACAATCCATTGTGACTTTTCCTGATCACATCTCAGAAGAGTAACTTCGGGTTGAATAATTTAGGTTTTGATGGATGAGTATACCTAGGCACCAATGCCAGTAGCCTATGGGACTTAATTCCTGGATTGCGAGTTTATATGCAGAACTTTTGAATTAACTAAACTAAGCTTGTTCACATCAGTCGTTAAATATCGATCAATCTTGAATTATTTTATCCAGATTTAATTACAAATAAATTATTACAATGCATTGTTTTCTCTAGCATTTTCACCATATTTGATTAGCTGCATCAATTTAATAAGTGTCTGAATCGTTGTTTGAAATTCGAATTAGTCATTTTCGCTTGTTTGGTGTTGCTGTCCTCTGACTTTGAAAATGGCACAGAGGATCTTGGAACCATTCAAAAGATTGCCCCACCAATTGCAAAATCTTGAAATTGTTAAGCGAATACATGATTACACACTTGGAAAACATACTGATGGTTACTCTTGTCACCAGGTGAGTTCTTTTTCTAACATTATTTGCGATAGTCGTCTGCTTATGGATGTCTGGAGTCTCCAAGCGCTTTGGCTTTCGACGAAGTTCTTGGCTTATTAGCTGTAGGAACAAGTAAAGGAGTAATAAAAATGTAGGTTTAGACGAACTCATCTCACATTCCTAGATATGGCTCACCGGGCATTGTTTTCGCTGTCCAACGAGAGGGCTCTCCGATTATTTCTCTTTTGTTTTTACCAGGCGAAGTAGGTTCTCTTTACACTGATGTCACACCATATAGGGGCGGATTGTTTGCGCTTCGACTGACGGAACGTTAGATCTTTTTGAACTAGATTCTAGATGTGGACGATGGTCACCAACTAGCCATGTGAAAGTTCAGCAAACGTAAGTTAATTAATGGGAAATTTTTGTTTTTCTTTTAACACATGGGGATATAACTTAGGGATATGTTAAATGTTAACTTTATTCGGATGGATTCATGCTTTTGCCTAAAACTTCACTCGAAGATACGGCAGTCGAACAAGGTAATCTGAGCATCTCAAAAAGAGTAAGACATTGAATCGCTAAACGCTTTGTCCAAGTAATATACACAGCTTTTTACGCTTGAAATCACATGTTTCGCTTAGTTAAACTTGTCTCAATGATCTGGAGTTTATTTTGATGGATATAGCTTCACAAAGTTGTTCATGGGGAGCTCACTGGTCTTGTTGAAAGAATTAGGCATTTCGTACAAGCCAATCTGGCAGGCCCTCCAAGTCGCTTCTTGGCATCCGTTTACAAATGAGTTTGTGCTTTTCACTGAGATGCAATAGTAATTAAAACACGGCCTAAGTCATATTGGTTATTTGGGAACCTAGACAATCATCGTTCTATTTCACCGCGTCCAGCCTTAGAATAAAGTTTGATAAAGAGATTCATGTGGCTAAAAATAATTCATTTTTTCAGCTATTCTCATGGATTATGTCGTACAGAACCTTCACTTCCTAATACCTACGAATGTGAAAATGAGTGAGTTTTCAGCATGGAGTTTGGCTAACGTGTTAGCGAGATGTCAAGCCGTATCGATCGTTCTTGATCTGTATCTGCTGACAATTGGTTTTAACGAAAATCTACCTTGTCAGGACGTTAATTTGTTAGTTTTGTCGGTGTAATACTCCCCTTACATTTTGTTGAATATAATTTCGACTAAAAGTTAGGAAAGACGGCATATTAGTTTCGCGGTGCTGTCCACAATACTATTGTATGGTCTGTCGTCCTGCCGTAAATGTACTTCACAGTGTGGCGTACTTTTGGGTTTTCACGTAAATCGCCTTCAGAATTATCAAAAAATTCCAACTTATAATGTTTGTTTTTGAATGCAAATATGTACTTGTGCATAATAACATGTTGAATACTTACATTGATAAATTAATTTGTACTTATTTACATTCACAGCGGTGAACAAGATCTTATTACATGTATGTGTCTTGGTCATGGTATTATTTACATTGGTTCTGCAAACGGTACACTGCGTCAAGTTGCGGTTAAAGATGGTCATATGACACTAGGAGATGATGCACTCACTGCATGTACAAGTTCAATTATCAGCGATAGGTAATTCCTTTAGTGTTCCCATGTATTGTTCTTAATTTGCTGTAGGTTGACATCCGTGATTACTTTTTAGCTTAAAATATTAATATTGATATGTCTCCAAGTGTAGTTAATTAAATTTGTAGTTAGCCAAAACCAGTAATCTTCAAATGCTAATGCTGTTTGTCTGTGAAAACGTCATATTCTTTAAGCGTATTCCTATTACCAATGTTATTAGGACTCGTGTTCTATTTGTTGTTTGCATATTAGTGTGATTTTTGCACACGATTACTCTCTTAGTTAACCCGATTCCACTGGGTCGGTTTCTCAATCCCTGGTAGAGCCAATTTAAAAAGTAACACTAGGATTGAATCCTAACCGATTAGTTTTAAGGCAAATGCTCACTCCATTACATCGCTTCGATTTTATTTATTTTTTTATTTATTTTAACACATAAGTATAGGTACAGGAAGGCACCAAATACATATGCGCCACACAAATCTCAATTGATTTGTGTGAGGGCTGTGATACTGCCCGGGTGCCCAAACCGAAGCAGGTACATCGCTTCGAGGATTAATCTTACTCATTACGAGACGTCAGCAACCATTTGATATTAATCTTTCATGTAAGTTGAAATATGCATGCCATTGTGATTGTGTAGGTAAACATACCTAATCCACGGTCTGTATATAATACCAAAGTGTAGACTTTTGTAGACCAGCAGAATGATAAATTTTGGCCTATCGTCGTCTGATAAGATCCTATAGCTACTTATTATGAACTAACTAGGACCAGGTTTTCAAGCTTGCGTAAATAGCTCAAATTTTATTATTTATGGTGTGGTTTCAATGTAGGATTCGTATAATTTGGTATGTTTTGTGTTTTAGTGTCCCCGCAGACAAGCGAGATCAACTTGGGGTAGACTCTCCCATCATATCCCTTGAATTACAACCTCAAGGTAATCATCTGCTGGTTGCATACGCAGGCGGCTGTGTAGCAGTGGCTATTCCTCAGCCTATCCCATCAGAAAGCGTTACACAGCCAGCTGCTCCGGCGGATGGTGTCACTGCTCCTACAGCCCAGGGGGAAGTTGTTACTCCGAATGTTGTTGATGAGTTGGCCCCAACTATTTCCCAAGAAACTCAGGGCGAAGCAACACCGGGCGACAAAACTGAAGTAAATGGAGAGAAGTCTCAGCAAGTTTCAAACGACAGTGCTGTCGAGTCAACTCCTAGTACTCCTGCAAAGGGACATTCGGAGAAGCGATCAACCTTAAAGTTTAAGGCGTTAACACGTAGCTTGAGACCTGATGCGTCTAAAGCAGAGGCAAGTTTCTCTAATGTTTTGTTTATTTAGATTTCAACTATGTTTAGTTAGTGTCTGAAATTGGGTCTAGGCTTATCTTTCCTAGAATCACTTTTGATCACACTTTCATTAGTTGCGATGATTGGGATATGCATTACGTATTCTCAGCCACTCTCTACCTATTACTACTGTAAAAGTAAATTGATGGTCAGTATTTATGTCTGCTGCACGTTTTTGTTCGTTTGTTTATATTCAAAGAATTTTTACTTGTTAGGTTTAGAGAAATGATTGCTTCATTTGGTTTTATCACGATCCAGCACCATTCAAAGAGCTAGGGTTAACAATGCACAGTATTGCTGTCATTTTGGGGCGAGTGTTTGGTGTTTATTGGTGACATCTAAAAGAGCTTGATGAGCAATAGTAAATTCCATTGTAGAGTATTCGTAATTTGACACTAACGTCTATATTACTTCATTCTTTGTGGAATGGGAAATTCATGTTTTAACCTTGTATATACTCATTTAGTGTGTTCTTGAGAAACCATCAATGCTAGGGATTTAACTTATTTTTGTATTTGTTTCCTGTTAAAATATTGTCTCTATTGTCATTCTATGTGAATGATTTTACTTATTTACTACTGACTTACTATTGCAGAAAGAAGAACCATCATTGCCTGTACCTCCAGCTCCTCGTATCAGTCATTTACTGCTTCGCGACCAACCAGTTGAATGGGCCTCATGGCGTGTTACATCCGTAGACTCTTTATCTACTGAAGTTGTAGTTGCTTATGGTGATGGTGCATTTCAGATTTGGCCTATTGTTGCAGCTGTTAGTGATCAACCGTTTGAACCAATTATTGTATCAATGATAGATCCACCAAACACTCCATATGGTAAGATTTTATAACTAATTATTTTACACCAGAGCCGAGGGTTTACAAGTTCGAAGGCGATGTCACTCATGTCGACAATCCACATTGTGGTAGGATTCACGACTAAAGCTTGACTACTTAGCAAATGTTATGGCAGTAGGATTTCTCCATTAGTAGTTCGGGGTACATAGCCTGTTGGTTTTCCACTAACCAAAAAGAGAGTAATGGAGGACTATGCATAAAAACAATCTAACCCTCCTTACTTTAAAACTTTTCACTTTTTTAAAAAAGTAAACGAAAATTTTCACTTTCAAGAACTAAGTGACTAGTATCAAGTAAATCCTGAGTCACGTAACCTATTTCCCTTCTTATTCAGATGTTGATTTCTACGAAAAGAATTGATGTGTATCACACGCAACAATAATGCTCTTTCCACTTCTATCTTCATTGTTTTCTGTCGATAGCACTATTATGTCCACGGTTTTCACAAATCTCAAATTTTTAACCATAACTATCGATTTGAGTATGCTGACTACAACTCAGTTTTCTGAAATTAAGCCACACTAATTACATTTTTTTATGAGGGCTTATGTTGACATCTATCTCAGTTCCTTGTATTTAGAGCTTGCAATTATTCATAGGTCCATATCACTTTGCACCATTTACAATTTAATGGTCAGAGATGTACTAAGATGTAGTTGGTTACACGTTTTGTATTTTGGACAGATCATTTAGTCTTCAGTTGTCTGTTTATCACATTACTGTTTCTCAAGCGCCACATTATAGTCTATTTTTTACTATTCGTTCATCATGTATTATGTTCAGTTCTTATATTGACGGCTTGATGGTACGGTCGATAATTGGAATCATATACATTTAGCTAAAATCTTTTCCAGTTCCTTAAGAGAAGTTGTATAGTGGAGAGGATATTGTCGACTCTGATGACATGATTTTTATGTACTACAGTAATATTTCGCTCCAGGAGTTTTAATCAACTGTACCATGTTATTAACTTAAGAGTCCTTGAATGATTTCGTATCAGTATTCTGTTTTTTTTAAAGGTCCTCTACCTTGTGGCGCAATAAATAAAATATTGGTCAGTCCATCTGCAAAGTAAGTTAAACACTTTTCCGACTTTTTTCCAATATGTAAGCACCGCAATTCAAGTCCTGTTTTATATCCCTAGAACGTATAAACTATAGGCTATTAGAATCATGAAAAAATTGTCTTGAATAAAGATACTTGTATAAAATAGAACTAATTCTTATGAACTGTTTATAACAACTGGTAAAAAGATAAAAGGTGGATATGCTTTTGTTCCTGCACTCCATTTTCCTGATTTTAATGTCTGATAGCTTCACATGGGTTTCATATCTTCCCAATCCGAAACTGGATGCAATCTGTACGATTTTGTCTTAGCTCTATTCATTTGATTATACATGTTTTTTCATCTGATTTGATAACAGTGCTAATGGAAACTAATGACCCTTTAGGACAACTTGAAAACCCCAATCTACGGTGTATCCACAAAAATGTAAATTTAATAAATTATTTTCAACCCATGACAGGCCTCTTAGTATCAGCTAAGCATCAGAATAAACTTGCCACCAGGTACTTTTTCATGAAGCCCATGATACTACCTGGTTGGTAGGTGGAGTGGAGTTCAAACCTGAAACTCAAAGGCCGAAAGTTGAGCGCCTTAATCACCAAGCCACTTTTCAACATCTGTCTTAAAGTCGTGGGTCATTAAGTCTAAGAATTTCTATTTACTGGTAGTAATTCGTCTAATACTGATTAAGTACTGTCAATTTATCTCTTAGAGAAGGCTATATTCGATCAGTGGAATATCACATGGTGCTTTTAATTTGAACATGTGCTCACTGTGCAATCTTGTCAATAGATTAATTGTTTGTGTGACTGATAGTCACTTGACTAATATAGGCATGTACTGTAAGTCATCCCGTAAAAACCACTCGAGTTTGCTTATAGATTTGTTTCCCATATTTATACAGGTATTCATATTGTGAGTGACCAAACGTTTAATTTTCTATCCTATACAAAGTGTAAAGCATTTTGAATTAATTTTCATGATAGTTTTTTATTCCTATTTCCATAGTTTATCTAACTGGAAAGGATAGATTTTTGCCTCCTCGTTTTGATAACTGTCATACTAGGTGTTTTATGTCTGCTCCATTCATTTTGCCAGCGATGTAAAATATCCAAAAGGTTGAAACGGGATTAATCAGTCGGTTTAGATTATGCGTCTTCTCCATTTCACAAATATTTATTTGATTGTGAATAGAGCTTACCTAACATTCCACATCGCTATTTCGTGTTCGATTATAGCCTTTCCCTTTGCGTAGTAGTGGGGTTTATGTATTGTGGTAACTCAGTGGGGCTATATTGACGGAAACATTTGTTTTTTAGCCTTGCTACTATACCAGGGAGGTCTACTGGAGAGAAATATGATTTAAAGCAATTACTTACGAAAAGATCATATATATCCGTCTCAAGCACTTGTCCTCTAGACTGATCACACTCCCAGGTCATCAAGACCATCCGTAACCCAATCTTCTCTTTTAGATCCTTCGAGGTGTATCTTCCCACAGCGTGGGCAGACTAGTAGTGACAACTCCATATATGTAACAGCACTGTTGTGTTTTTGATGGGGTTTGCGAATCTTTCCAATTTTATAGCTATTTTATGTAGTGTGGACTATAAAAATTGGTTTATAATTCTATTGTATTGTTAGCAAAATCAATTTTCCATTACTTTCTATTTTTATATTTCCAATTAGTGCTGGTTTACTAACAGTGTTTTGTGGAGGTTTACCACGTCCCCAATTCGAGAATCGTTATGCAGTGTCTGTCTTACAAGATCATGAACATCATGTTTGTTATCAGTTTGGATCAAAGGTCATTGATTTTGTACTTGTACCGAGTGAAGGAAGTGTATCAAGTAAGGTTCTTCGTCTTTTTTAAGAAATTTTTGCGTCCTAAGTCATCCTATTACAAAATCATTGTAAAATCATACGTACATCATCCATCTTGAATTTTGTGAAAGTTCATATTGGTAATAAGTAACATTTATTACCATCTTGTAATATAGGTTTTTCACAATAATTAAGTGTAAGTCGAAGATAACTTGGCTACAGCTAGACAACACTATTTGGTTTCTTTTTAAACATTCCACATCCATTTTTTCTTGTTTTCTTCCATTTCTTCCAGATGAAACGGTTTCAGGTGAAGTTGTGACGAAACCTTGTCCACCTAGTTATTCTGCTACATTATTAGTGCTTACTGAACGTGAACTTGTTGCGATTGATTTAACTCAACCCGATTGGCCTGTCTACGATTCACCATATCTTAATTGTATGGATTTCACTCCGGTTACAGCTATAACTCATATAGGACAGGTTTGTGTTTGATATTTTGTTGTTGTGCCGTTTTTTCCAGCACATTCTAGTTGTATGTAGATGTGACATATTTTTAAAAGTTCATGAGGCCGATTAGCTTATATTATCTCAACTATATATTAATTCTCTAAAATACAAGTCGGTTGTTTGTTCAGTCAAAATTCATAACATTAAATACCGAATTCGAATGCCTTCTAATTGATTTGGATGTGATAATTCATCGAAATTTTGCTACGTGCAGATTAAAATAAGTTGTTTACTTGTGCCGGTGAATACAATGCATCAGTTTTTAAATGATTGAATAACAGTTTTCATATGATACATTTCAATGACATTGTTGTTTTGGTGGTGACACTATGTATTATATGTATTTGGACAGCTTTGACGAAATATCCATATATTGTATCAGATCTCATACGCATTGTTGTACTAGTCTATGGTTTATTATTTATGTAGTACTTACATCTATGCAGAATATTCATTTCAGGAATCAAAACACTAATGAATAAATAATTGTTCTATCTGATGAACTATGTAGCTAATATGGTTAACTAGCATGGTTTCATTGGCAGTTTCATACGTTACTTGTGCTTAGTAGTAGTATGATTTTCTAAAAATTGTATTTGCTTATTTAGGTTCCACCAGCTCTAATCCATCGGCTACACCAAGCTGCTCAGATAACTTCAGATGATATTACCAATTGTTCATGGCCAGTATGGGGCGGGTCTCATAATGGTAACAAGAAGAATTTTGCACAAAATTCTGGAAATGACGTTATCGTCCTTGGACATTCAAATGGATGGGTTACTTTATGGGCAGTTGGTCGAGGAGATACTACAATTCATCTGGGAACTTTACCAACTTCATCTTTGTTTAATTTAACTGATTTGCAAAATGGTCAGGTAGGCAGTCAATCAATACTTACAGTTCTTATTATATTCTATCATTAAAAAAACAGTATATACTGGTTTGCTCCCCATTTCAACCATAATTATTTTACAATTCGTCAAAGTTGTTTAAAACCAGCATGTTCCTATCAGATTTTTAACAATTAATTTTTCCAAAGTTATAAGAAATTTGTACAGACATTATTTCATCGTTTCTTATGGCTTTTCAGGATTATATGCTTCTGCGATTTCTGAAAGGCAAATCAAACATTGTGTTGTAATGAGCGTTTTAATTAGGAAGCTTTGAATTACTTACCTTGATGTGTATTTTGATTGTTCAGTTAGTTATGAGTTGCGAATGGCAAGTAAATCAATGTATTCAGTTTTGTTGTACATGCTGTAACTAAATCATAATTTTTTGGATGAGTCTAGTTAAGTCCAGAAGATAGTTATGGAGTGTTCCTCACTTATAGCCATGAAACGACCCATAAGATTAGAAGGCATGGACTAGCCGGGATGGGATTAGCTAATTGGTCATAAATGATTTCGGAGCATTACTCAGGTATAGTGGAATAACGAAGTGAGGAATGCTGAAAAAAGATAATGAATAGGTTGGTTAAGCTATGAATTTTAATGGAGTTAGGTGACCGAGACATGTGTTACCTATGCCAAACCGCCGCCTACGTCGATTCACAATGTTGACTGAAATTGTTGTAAGTTGAGAGGAAGTTAAGAACAGTTAAATTCAGACGTAGTTCTACTTTATAAAATCCTTCATTGTGTAACTAAGCTATGTTGTAAATCCAGATTACACGTTAGTCGTGGTCAGTATTTGGAAACGGGTAAGATGGTTCAGAACCAGTCACAGTGATGCAAATGTACTCAGTCTTTATCTTTCTCTGTATTCTTGAGTTTCAATATTCCTTCAGACATCTTTTTATTGTTTCCTTGAGAACCATATTCACAATGTTTGATCTTTCTTTTGCTATTCATTTTGTTAATTTCAGCTTAATATACTAAGTTGGTTTTGAAACTTTGTATACACAAAGATTTACTAAAATGCTGTTATCTTAGAACTTATCATAACGAAAGCCTACTGTCAATGAGAGCTCCGGAAATCAGGATCTAAATTGTTGATCGTTTGATGCTTTTAAGACTATTCATTAACAAAAGTTAAACATTTCTAGTCGTTAACATTTTATACTGCTAACGGTAACGTTATTACTGTTACATCTACAAAATGATTGCTGAAATTTTATTTTAATTTTCAGAAGTGTGGAAATTCGATATTGGACGAAGAAACGTGGCCACCTTTTCGTCCAGTTGGTTATTGTTCTCGAGCACAACGTCAATCTATCGAGAATTGTGATCCACGCTTGGCTATTACACAGTTACTTGTTTTACTGGGAAGTCCAATCCGATCAGGTGTTAGCGATTCAATTGCACCGGATACATTGACACTCGTTGTGGGTGGTGCTGGTGGTCAAGTGAGCCTATGGGTTGCTGGTTCAGAAGGATTTTTGCATGCACCGGAACTTAGTTCTTTTGAGCCTGATGTATTCAGAATATGTGTTAACCTCATTGATCATTCAGATGAGAATAAATATATTTGGAAAGATGCTTTACCTCTTCGAGTAAGTAGTCCATTTCATTTTTCTGATGTATGCCAGTGTTTAGTGTAAGTAGATATTTGTTTAGATCCACTAAATAATCTGCAATTTTGCCCCTTACTGGTCATTTCTTACTATAAACTTGTAGAACTTCAAAGGGTTACGTTTATTTGTATTCAAGTGGTTGAGATGATATCAAAAGCTTATAGTTATTGTGAAATTATGACTAGATTAATTATTGTGTCAAGTTAATACAATTTACTAACTAATGTAAAATTTTCCTTTTATGAATGAAAGTTAATACTTTGAATAATCAACCTTACACCAAATATGCACAAGTTTTCCTAAAACTTATGACCCCTTGAGCTATTGATTAATACTTTCCTTGTGCGCATAGCTTAATGAGGCAAGAAATTACTATTAGCAGTAAATGGTTTTTTATTATTATTAACTTTCACTTGGTATTGTACGCTTAAATCTTCCCACTGATGTTTAGGACAAGAGGTACACTTGGAATATTTTTCCTTCAATGTATTTCCATATGTACAATTTATTATTCTAATGGCAATGAAAATACACACTGGTCTTTCTTAAACCATTAGATCCTCTCGTAAATTGAAGGCCAGGGTTCAATTTAAATCAACTACTAAATGGTTTTCTAAATCTTGTTACTAGTTCACCGAAACATACACCGATCAATATAAACCAATAAAGTAGAGTGTACTGGACAGTTGTTTCTGCTCGTATTTGGGATCGGCAATTCTGCATAGTTTTAAATTCAAGATATATCACGTCGAGCTCAGTACCATTCTTAGCAGTGATTTGGATTTTATTGGTCCGTGATTCCCAACCTCTTTTAATTTATAATATTACATCGCAATCCTGTTGTGTATGTTTCTGATAAACGTTTTATCGATGTGTTGAGGTTTCTTTACAACACTTCCTGGTTGTGATAACTTAATTTAGTACAACATTTTTACCGCTCTAAATTTCAATGCTAGTGAGTTGGGTGAAAAATAGAACTAACACGTAATCACACCAACTCCGTAAATATGATTTTCATCATTTATCCAGTACATTGATATTCTTTTTATACCTGTCGAAAGATACAACATTGTTTTGCAAATTTGATGACCCATGCGATCTTTAGTTTTGGAACCATCCTTTGCCGTTGTTCTCAATTAAATTGTTATTTACTCACTTTCTTGTTAGTGTCTTGTGTACGAGTACGTTTATTTTTATTATTTACGAAGGCGCTAGTTAGTTACTCACTGAGTGTAGTACATTTGTCTAGTCCTACAATTGTATATTTATTTCATCGGAACTAATCACAATTTTATTGTGTACTGATTACAATCTCTTGTATGATTTATTTTTTAAATTTCTAGCCTACCGAAGGTGTCCCTCATTATTGCACACCAACTGGACTAACATTTCATCCCTGTCAACTTATTCAATTAAATCCTCCTAGCCAGATTACATCTCTTGCATTAGAGTTGTCTTGGAATCTATTGGCCATTGGTTCTTCACACGGATTTGCTTTGTTAGACTTATTTGATCGTTCTATAATCCATGCTCATTTCACTTACGATTCATCAGGTCCTGCAAAGATTGTTAATGCTGTTGCTAGTAAGTTAGTCGTTCTGTGATCAAATGGTTTGTGTGATATGTTTGATGTCAAATAATTGTTACTTGTTAGCTCCTATTTCATTCATGTTTATTTTCAGCTGTACAAAATGTCATAATGGCTCGAGGAAGACAGCTTACATCAACAATGAGACAATCATTTAGACGTTTAAAACACTTTCGTACTTCAACAGCGAGCTCTGAGAAAACTTCGAGCGAGCCTACTGCACCAGCTGATGAACAACAAACAACGCTGCAACAAACCGAAAAGAGTCTTGACGAAACCTCACCTAAAGGTATGTCCTGACTATTGTGTAACGTAGTCTTTAAGTGCTGTCATTGTGACTATTTTCACATCTAACTGCACAAAATAAGAAAAATGTCATGATTGTTTTCTCAACAAAATTTAGTAGTAGTTGAATTGTTTAAGCGTTTGACTCAAACACTTAATCACAAGTCCGGACCTCTATCTATTTCGTTTTGGTCTACCTGTTAATATCATTAGCTTGGAGTATGGCTCAAATCTGTTCTTGTAAATTACGTTAACAATAATAATGATAACCATTGCGGCGAAAAAATTTTCTAGTGCATTCAGGTTAGTTATAATTTACATTAGGATGTGACATTACCATGATCTGTCTATGCTATCGCAGATACGCTTCAGTGTTATGGTAAGTAGGATTTCTAGACTTAATTTCTGATTAGCAAACGTCGTTTTGAAAGTGTGAATCAGTCAGTCGGCAGTCAGGTACAACGTAGGACCAGACACATATATACATCAGTCCAAATTGCCATACCTCATTAGCACAGAAAAATGAACATCAAATTCATAGAAGTGGTTACTTCAATGATAGTAATACATAAAAGAAAGATTGTGTATAAGCATATAATACAGGAAGAAAGAATTAGTTCGTAGAAAGAAAGATATAAAGCAAATTTAATCTCACAGTTTAAGGAAGAACAGAGAGTGTGTACACCTACGCCATTGTGATCGATTCTGAGCCATATCACCCAGAGTCTCCAACTATTGGTTGTGATAGTCACACGAACCTCAAACAAGTAATCTGCATCTACCAACATGGCTCAGACTAGAAGTTAGTGACTTTGTGGACTGATGCCACATTTTAGTTTGGTCGCCCCTAACTTTCTTCCGACTATCCTCAACACTAATCAGCATTGCGCGTCGTGGTGATCGGTGTTCATGCATGTGTAACACGTGGCCCAACCATCTCAGTCGATAAAGATTTACAACCTCATCAACTGATTTACCATCATTCTCTTATACCCTGCGTCGAACCTCACTATTACCTACCCGGTGATCCAGCAGATGTGAGAAATATTCCTAAGACATCTGTGAACAAATACTAGTAACTAACGTGTATCTTTTACCCTTAATGGCCACGTTTCGCAGCCGTAAAGTAGAACAGAAAGAACTGTTGCGCAACATACTCGTCGCTTAATTGATAGACAGATATCTCACCTTCGCCATAGGTGATGTAAGTTGGCAAAAGCCAAACGAGCATTCTGAATCCGTGCAGAGATTTCATCAGTCACTAATCCATTAGAGCTGATCAGACTTCCAAGAAAAGTGAAGTTGTCGACACGTTGGACTATTTTACTCCCTATCCTTAGTTCAGGTGTTGACGCAGGCCAGTTCTGAATCAACAATTTGCATTCAGAGGCGGAGAAGCGCATCCCAAACATCTTGGCATTGTTGCTCTTTGCTATCAAGAGACTGCATTTTATCAGCGTCTTCACTAAACAGGGCTATGTGGTCTGTTTATTCTAGGTGGATAAGTGGACCTCGTGAAAGGAGATCAATTCCTGAAAATGCAGTCGACGAGAACGTTATTTCCAGCACTAGTTCTGTGATGAAATTCAAGAGAAACGGAGATAGTGGATAGTCTTTACGGACACCACCTGATGTTGCAAAACCAGATGACAGGGTGCGAACATCGAAGTCTCCAAGGTATGCTTCGAAGCGGGGTTTCATTAAACCTGGGACAGTCTTTCGCGCACTAGATTTGTTGTTCATGGTCACACTTGTAGAGGAAGTCAAAAGAGGATGTTTAGAGTTGAGAGTCTAGGTAGGAGGAATAATTGGAATTGAGGGGGGATATCGATTATGAATACAGTGATCTTGAGTGCTACTACAGGTATTAGGGCGGTTATCACTTCCCAGTTGCACACACCGTGGAAGGGTTATTCTAGAGGTACCTGAAAAGGAGATTGGATTAGATGATGTCTTAGTGACCTGAGAACGTGACCACAATGCCCAAGGAACAACCGCTTGAGTTCAGTCTCACACGACCTTTTTATGAGTAATTTTCGTGTTAGCTCCATACTTGTTGAGACCTTAACACCGGAGACGGTAATCCATGCAATAAGGCGAGATATGCATTTTTAGGGTCGACCTCTTCGAACTCCACCCTTCCTTGTGGGAAGGCAGCTCGCTGTTATGCTGGTTGTCTGAAGGAAACATCTTAGTGCCATCACACCACTGTACTGTCATCAGTACGACTTCGCCCTGAGACCTTTGAGGTTTCTGCTTTTAGTCTTACCGCTTTTCAGCCAACCTGTCTATCATGGTAGAACCTTGAGGAACGATTGTTTCGGCCAGTATAACTCGATTTGTTCATTACGATGGGCATGCCCGATCATCACGTCAAGGTAGCAGCAACGCTCGCGTGTGTGTGAATACTCTTCTGTAGTACTTTATTTGTAGAGAATGATTGCGTTAGTATACCTTAATCTGTATAGATATTTCTGATCATGCATACATAATTTTACTGTTTCTTACGGTTTGTTAACCTTTTCATCATTATTTTACTTCATCACAAACTTTTAGCATTTTCAAGTCCATGTAAATGCATACTTTACTGAAATGTTACAATTTTTATCAATTGTTTTACAGATGAAGCTAAAGAACAAGATCAACCTGTTGAACCATGTGAAAAAAAAGAAATCCAAGAAAATGTTGAAGTTGTAGGAGTAACAGAGCAACCAACAACTTCTGTAGAATCTGAAGAACCGAAACAACAATCAATAACGGATAATGCTGAGGTTGATGTTCCTCCTGAACCTATTCAACTGAGCCAAGAGGATATAGTATCTTCAGCTGTTCGTTGTCTCCTGTTTTCTGAAACTTATATTCAAGTGGGAGACCGTGCTCCTTCTGTCTGGGTCGGTACAGCTTCAGGTAAAGTGTTGGCTTTTGATTTGTCATGGAGAGGTACTGCCGGACCCGTTAAAGCAACATTGTCGAAGGAATTACAATTACATCATCACTCTCCGATTGTTTCATTGTATATCATCGATGCAGTTGATCATGGACCGATTATGCATAGCCAGGTTTACAGGTATGTACAGTGTACGCAGTAGCTGTTTCTATTATTTCCACTGTTAGATTTTTTTATGTGCAGTATTTTAACATTTTCGTTCAATTTTAATAATTTTCTATTTTCAATTTCTGTTAAGGAATTCGTGCGTCGAATCAGATGAAAGCAATGAAAAACAAGAATCTACTCAACCGTCAGAACCTCCTGCTGAAGTTTCTATGGATGGTGGCAAAGATACTGAAACTCCTATTCAATCAACATCAGCTACACAGGATATGCATCAGTTACTTTTGTGTTCTGAGGAACAAGTTAAATTGTTCAGTATACCTTCACTTCGTCCAATTTATAAGCATAAATTCATTGATCGCCTTCGTATGCTTGGTATGTCAGTGACTTCCGGTGCTGGTTCATCTTCTAAACCAGAGAAGGAAGTGACCGAAGAAGCAGCAGATACAGTTGTCGGTGAGAGCGAGGTAAATATTTTCTTCATTTTCGAGACTCCGTACCCAATAGTCCGTATCATTTATTGCTTTATTCTATTTTCTGATTTGTGATTTCATGTAACTCTTACCAGGTACATAAGTTAATGCATTGGTTTTTGTGAAGACGGCACTCGGGTGAACTCAAGGAAGCTCAGGAAGAGTCGAAGATATGTTATAAAATTACAAAATTCTTAACAGCTTATAAAACCACGCCCAACCCTATTATCTCAAATGGAATGTCCCTTGCTGAAGCTATGTTTGAACACTGTTCAATTTGACTCAAAATTCTGATTTTGATATCAACATCTTTAGGAGATTGGAAACTACATACAAATGCAAGACACTTAAACTGGTCTTCTGTCATTATCGATAATTCAAAACGCTTACACTCGCGATTTACTATGTTAGCGTGTTGCCCCCGGTCATCGTCTCCAGCTTTTGCTAACGTGGTAACGAATATCGAACAAAGATAACTGTTCACCAAAGATATGCGACAAAATTACGACCGCCACATCAAATGGAAGGTCTCTCACATTCTTGGAATAATGGAATTAATGTACCGTTCATGTTCAGCTGTGCCAAATTTGCATAGTAGTACTCGGACCTTTGCGGCTTCATTAAACGCTTTTTGTCGATTTGGAATACTTCTTCCGAACATAGCTTCAGAAGGGGACTTTCCATCTGGGACAATAGGGTTGGGCGTAGTTCTATGAGCTGTTAAGAATTATGTAATTACCTGACTTCTCCCATTGTCTTCCCCTTTCAGTAATGCTCTTTTAAATGTGTCAGCGATGCTCTCTGCCTGTCCACTTGATTGAGGATGATAGGGTGGAGAACGTATATGTGTAATTTCATTAGTGCTACAAAAGTGCTTGAATGATGCTACAATGAATTGTGAGTCGTTGTCAGTCACCAAAGTCTCCGGGACACCGAAACAGCTACATAATTAAGATACCTTGCTAAATTGTTTTACTGGCTATGCAGTTTGCGATCGCGTAGATTTGTGACCATTTTGTGAGTTCATTCACTATCACTAAAAATGTTTTTCATCGTACTGGGGCTGTGAAATCTACGTGCAGCCTCTTCCAAGCACTTAGGCTTTTTCGTTGTTGTGGTTCATACTTATTTGGACTTTCGGATGCTTTCAGGCACAACGAACAATTGCGGCATCTAGTTTCGATATCTTGATTCAGTGTAGGCCAGTAAGCATAACTTCGAGCCAACGATTTCATCAACATCTTATCCAATCATCTTTTGGAAGAACACTCCAGAATCTTGACGTGTAGCTTTCCGATTGGACAAATGCTAAAAACCACTGCATGCGGATTGGTTAGGTGCAATGATGACTTCATTTTTACTAAAAACTTGAGAGTTTTGTACCATATTTGACACTGTTTAGAATGATATTCCTCCTCACTTGCGATTCGGAGGGTTCTAGCGTTCTAATGCTCAAGTAGTACGCGGTATAGCAAGAATCTAATCTCTAGATATAACAGTTTTAGAGCCATATCGGAAACAGTATCACAATAAATATTATGACTTTGACTGTTATTTATGAATAGGTTGTATATGTGAACACAAGCCAGATTAATCCCAAACGTGTGACAGGGTTTGGCCTGCAGAATTTTACTTCTGGATCCGGAGAAAATGCTAAACTCGAATGGAATGCTGTTGCAACGCTACTGGATGGACAGATTGCTGTACTATCTTTGCCTAACCTTCGTAAAGTATTCAAGGGTGAGTCCACTGGTTAGCACCTTTTTATTCACTAGATATGTTTATCAGCTGAACGATAATTATAGAAAAAGTAAGGAATTATTCGGTTGAGTACATTTTATGCAGTGGTAAAGTTACATGATTAATACAAAACTCAACAAAGATTCCTCAGTTGATTGATGTATTTTGGTTATAGTATATTTTCTGAGCTAGTTAGTTTACTTGTGAGGTTGTCATTGTAGTTCTGGACAACATCATCGCTTACTTCACTTGGTAATGACCAGAGGTCAATAGAATAAATTGGTCAACAGGCACAAAATAATAAAACCCTTGTACACAAGTTGAAAATAACGTCAAAACAAGCTGACTCAAAATTTGTGGAATAATCAAAATGTTCACTTCTACTTAAAGTTTGCACTAACAATGTATTGGACAACAACGAAAGTTTTGCGATTAAAATCATCCTCTAACTAAATATAATCGAAAATATCGATTGGAGTTACAGATCTCCATGATTTTTGAGTGGTTGATTATACTGTTGCATCCAAGATAGAGCCTTTTCGTTTCATTGAAATCATTAATCAATATAATTGAACCATTGTTTAGATATAATATTATAAGTATCGCATACGTATTTTTCAGTTTATATTTTTTGAATTGAAGTTCATAACTATCTGTTTACCTAAAGTTTATCATGAAATCTTTTTTTTAGAACGCTGTTATTCTGGCTATCTACCGTCATCTACACTTCCCTGTGTTGCCACACGTACGTATAACACGCATGTCTTCTGGTCCATAGGATGTCGTCTTTTAGTATCCGAACTCAATCCTATTCCTTTGTTGAATTCATTCGCAGCACCAGTTAGTGATGTTATAACAGATGACTTTATTGCAATCCATTTACCCGAATGGGCTAGAACGACTAGTAAAGATGTACCAGTGGAAAATGAAAATTTAAAAACATCCAACCAGACAAACTTGGTTTCTGAACCTCTCCAGGTATTATTGTTTGCATATTATATAAGCATTTTCTTTTTCCTACCTAGTCATACATTCACTATCTATTAATAATTATTAACACTTGTTATTTCAGAATACTGGGAATATTACCACTGACGAGAAAACGAATGGTTGCTCACCTGTAGTAGAAGAGGAGATTATACCAACGAATAAGATGAATGATACTATACTAGAGAATGGTCAGAATATTGGTGATGTTACATTGGATTCTATCAAGGAATATTTGAATGGGTAAATTGTAGTATTAAGTTTAATAAATTATAAATCTGTTTTGTATTTATTTTCTCCATAAAATGTTTATACTTGTGATGTAAAATTTTCACTGGATTAGGATAGAATTATACATTATAACACTTGGTTATTTATTGTTCTTCAGCACTGATGTAACAATGGTTGTAAAAACAACTGAAATGTCTACTGAGAAGCGTACTCTTGTAGAAGGTGGAAAAATTACAACTACCGTTCATGAAGTAGAGAAGGTTGATGGAAAAATTACAAAAGACGACGTTGTCAAGTTTGTCGCTGATGGTGAACCGGAGGTGGTGAGTATTACAGGTCAGTTTCATAAAACAGGTTAACTTATTGATTTGATACTATTGATGGGATTAGGAAATCCTGCTTTTGATTTTAAACTCTTGAATTTTCTTGTTGTAGTATCTTAGGCTATGGCGATTGATAATGGTGTTTCCGAAGTATTTTCTGTTTTCATACCCAGTATCTTGTTTTTATTAAATTTCGAGCATTGAATTACCGGTATTATTTTCATAAATATACAGTGAACGAACTGCAACTTTTAACAAATGATCGTCAGGTTATATGTGGTGATAAATTGTACATGATTTAAATTGTCACATCGTTTACACTGTTTATGATGTTTAAGTTTTGAGAATTTATTGGTTGGATGTGAAGCAATTATTTATCCATCACAGGCTTAGTGGTGTAGATAAAACGTCATGTTCGTACTCTAGACTGAATGTTCTGCGTTCGATTCACGGTTTTGGAGATCATGGTTACACACCGTTCAGTGTTTCAGGTTTACAGTGATGGTCTAGCTAAGATATTAGTTCGTGGTTTAAACCACAAGAAGTTTTCTAAAGGTTTCACTGCCGAATTTTAAATTACTTTATTGTTTATACTGGGGCGTAATCTACTATCTAGTTTATTGTTTAAATTTCCCTAGAAAAAGCAGATTGTTAAGATTTGTGTGGTCAAACCATAGTTTTTCCATACATTGAAATCTAATATTTTCTGTCTATTACAGTTTATGGAACTTTGTCTAGATTTAGTAGTTTTTTGTTTGCTAATTACATATATTAATTCTTTAAGACATTTCAATGGAATTCCTCTAAATTTTAATAGTTATTCAACTACTCGATGTGTTGTCCTTCAGGTTCATACAGGAAACTGAAAATGTAAGACCGATTGTGAATTTATAAGTAGTGTGTTTAGAACCAACAAAGTATATACTTGTGAATATGGGTAACGTATAAGTAAACTATATTCACGTTTTACATTACACCAAAAATAAAATAAATCCAAACTACTTGGTTGGGGTTCGCCTAATTATTGTAATAAATAATGGTTAAAGATGTTGGATCACTTGGCTAAGAATCAGTCACAGTGATGCAAATACCATTTTTCCCCTTATACATTTCATTCTTCTTGAATCATGTTATGTATACTGAATCTTTTCTTTTACTACCATTGATGCGGTTGTTATTTCGAACATGCTCTATGTTTCATGTAATGTTATAGCAGTTTGGACTTATTTTTTTAAGTTCTACATTGTTTATAACTGACTAAACATCCCACTAATTTGAACTTGAAACGAAAAGCGTTTTTTCTCGGATTTATATTCGCGTTTGTTATCTGGTGTTTTGATTGTTATAATACGGGGTTGATATACGTTATTAATTTGAAAGTTTTTCTTTTCTATTGTTGATTTTAGGCACTGTTTAACTAAGCAAATTATCGGTCGATCACAATTGCCACTGGAATATATTACTTTATCTTTGTTTAATTCAATTTAATATTATTTATGTCGTCATGACATTATTTTACCATTATTGATTCTCATTTTCCTCTTCTGCTTAAATCGACTCGTCTTATGCTCATATGTTTGTCCCCCGTGTATTTCGCGTTGACTCTTTGTTGCCTCCCATCGCAATTATCGCTTCTCAACTGATGATGATGTGATTATCGGTGCTTTTGTGTCCTAGTCGGTACAATTTACCGGTGGTCATTAATTTTTTTGTTTTATTGCGTGTTATTTTCGGTCTTTTGTGCCTTTATTTTTAATCAAAGGAAATTTTCTCTTTTCTCATTCTTTTTGCCATTTTTAAAAATTTCTCTTCTATGTGCTGTTCTATTGTTTGATGTCTTGGCATCAACTGTATGAACCATTTCTCGTTTCTTTCTTGTTATTACTCACATGTTTATGCATTCACATACAATTATAATACATAACTTGACAGCCTATCTGCTCCCTAGTTTTGCTAGTCATAACTATGTTGTGTCAATGTATATCACACTTAACATATTTTTCAGCTTTATGTTATAGTCTGTTCTAGATCATGTGTTTGGTGTGCTGACTAGTGTACGCTAAGTTATCTTAAAATTTTTATACTACCCTTTAAATATACTGAATCGTATTCTGTAAACGTGGAAAATTTTATTCCTATTTTGTCCTGTTTTTATCCAGTTGCGCTACATTTACATCTTTGTCTGGGTGTTTTGTCTACTCTGGTAACAATGTTTGTACATGTATACCAGCTCATATGCTCCTGTTTGTATAACTTGTTTTGTATACTGTTGACCATCATCAGCACTACTTCTGTATGCTCTATACACATCATAATTATTCGTTTCTGTTTAACTGATCTCTTGACATAAAAACAACATACGTACATATATCCACACACAGTCATTATCAATCGCACATATATGCTACACCAGATACTACTTACTACCTAATATAGCGCATATATACGCTTATAAATATGGCGCATACATGTCAACGGTAATAATAACCAACTCTAACAATTTTAACAAAATTTACATGTTTTACAAGTTTCTGTTTTGTTTTGCTTCTTTTAATCGTTAAATGTTTCTCATTTTGTTTTTATTTCACTCTAATCATGATAAGTTGTTAGCGAATGTAAACGTATATTCCTTTTATTATCACTATTCAATATTACTATTATCTTATTGTTATTAAAACTATATGCGAATAAACATTTTTCTGTCATATGTGTTTATCGTTTTCAGGTCATTTGGGTACTTGCACAAGCAAATTGACTTGTAGGGTATTTGACTTCTACATAAATGTTCAGCTCAATATTGAATTTAAACCATAGTTTTTGGATGTTTGTCTGCTTGTCATGTACAGAAATCTAACGCGAATTTTATTTTGTTTGTCTATTTCATGTTATGCATTTGAATCAGTGCAATAGGCAATCTTTTTCGATGTGACACGCATTGAAATAGTGTTCAACCATTTGTAAAATGTGTATACACATAAAAACAAACTGATTTTCTCGATGAAGGTTGATCATTCTGTTTGTAGGTGTTTGAATCTTCCGGTTGTCGATGTTAAGGACTGCGATTGACTAGTCTCTTTTGGCTATATATATATATATATATCCTGAACGGGTTGCCTCGATATTATTTTCCAGAAAAGTTGGATAGTGACTAGCAGTGTAATCTGATACGCGTTTTCTGACTTGTTTGAGTTTCGTTAGCTGGATGCACTTGCCTCAGTGTTCATGTTCACTCCTGAACTCTAAAGCAGAACTAGCTGGCAAGTTCTAAATAGATCGAAATGCTCATCTTCAGTCCCAATTTTAGCTACTACCTTTGTATAAGCTCATGATCGTTTGTAGAGTTTCTGTCGAAGTATTAGCGACTTTCACATCAGTTTACATTGAGTTTCTTGTTATTTTAATGATTGTCAAAAGGTCATGTTGAAGTTTTTCGATGTGCTTGCATTGCTTATTTTCAATGTACGAACTCGCCACATATACTAACGCCTGTTCGATATAGCCGTAGTACAAAATGTTCTGTTTTCCTTATTGGATTAGTCTTCGACTTAGTTAACTGTCCTAACTGTTTATAAATAATGTGTATAGATTCAATATGGTTTTATTTGATATCGGAAAAGTGTTAATCTATTCTGAACATTTTGTTTATTTTAGCTTAGTCATATTTTTTATTTACCATTTATTGACTGATTGTTTATCCCGTTATTTTTTTCCAAGTTGAAATTTAATGATCCTGATAATGGACAATATGTGCATAGAGGGAGAGTTCTTTTGGAAATAATAGACTAGATACTTATCTCAAGATCAATACATGTAAATATAGTTACGATCTAATAGCACTTGTGAAGTGTTTTGTACATAAGGTATTCAATTTACTTTGATTTTGTACTGAAGACCAGTTACTCAGCAACTTACATGTATGTAGTGTGAATTTTTATACATTGTATATATGCGTAACTATTATCTACTGGAGGACAATTTATTTACTGTACATTCAACGTAAGTATTGGTCACAAGTTTTTAGTGGTTAGATTTGTTGAAAGTTGATTGGGTATTATTGTGATATTGTACAGAAATCAATGACTAGTGGGTTTATCACGTGAAATTTAAATTTATCAGTAGAGGAATTTTCTTACTGAGCTTGTATTTAACCGAAGAAAAATATTTGAAATTATCCAACACGACAACTGATTAGGTCACAGTCTATTACGTATTTTAGATTCTGAAAGCGTGTATCACTAAACTTCAATACTGTATATGGACCTACTTTTACATGTTAGATTTTAAATTTATTATTCAAATGTGAAAATTCGCAACTGAGACGCTCCGAAATTCCTTGTTTCGGTCTAGACTGCAGAGAGCGCTTACAAGCCGTTTGCATACGAACATGCGTTTAAATCATCTGCCAAGGAGGCTCTACCCACTAGTTTTACATGGTGGCATTGTTCATGAATTTGGAAAAAAGTGAAAAGTGGAGCTGAATGGCGGATACGACTGATTAGCAAACGTCGTTTTGAAAGTGTGAATCAGTCAGTCGGCAGTCAGGTACAACGTAGGACCAGACACATATATACATCAGTCCAAATTGCCATACCTCATTAGCACAGAAAAATGAACATCAAATTCATAGAAGTGGTTACTTCAATGATAGTAATACATAAAAGAAAGATTGTGTATAAGCATATAATACAGGAAGAAAGAATTAGTTCGTAGAAAGAAAGATATAAAGCAAATTTAATCTCACAGTTTAAGGAAGAACAGAGAGTGTGTACACCTACGCCATTGTGATCGATTCTGAGCCATATCACCCAGAGTCTCCAACTATTGGTTGTGATAGTCACACGAACCTCAACCAAGTAATCTGCATCTACCAACATGGCTCAGACTAGAAGTTAGTGACTTTGTGGACTGATGCCACATTTTAGTTTGGTCGCCCCTAACTTTCTTCCGACTATCCTCAACACTAATCAGCATTGCGCGTCGTGGTGATCAGTGTTCATGCATGTGTAACACGTGGCCCAACCATCTCAGTCGATAAAGATTTACAACCTCATCAACTGATTTACCATCATTCTCTTATACCCTGCGTCGAACCTCACTATTACCTACCCGGTGATCCAGCAGATGTGAGAAATATTCCTAAGACATCTGTGAACAAATACTAGTAACTAACGTGTATCTTTTACCCTTAATGGCCACGTTTCGCAGCCGTAAAGTAGAACAGAAAGAACTGTTGCGCAACATACTCGTCGCTTAATTGATAGACAGATATCTCACCTTCGCCATAGGTGATGTAAGTTGGCAAAAGCCAAACGAGCATTCTGAATCCGTGCAGAGATTTCATCAGTCACTAATCCATTAGAGCTGATCAGACTTCCAAGAAAAGTGAAGTTGTCGACACGTTGGACTATTTTACTCCCTATCCTTAGTTCAGGTGTTGACGCAGGCCAGTTCTGAATCAACAATTTGCATTCAGAGGCGGAGAAGCGCATCCCAAACATCTTGGCATTGTTGCTCTTTGCTATCAAGAGACTGCATTTTATCAGCGTCTTCACTAAACAGGGCTATGTGGTCTGTTTATTCTAGGTGGATAAGTGGACCTCGTGAAAGGAGATCAATTCCTGAAAATGCAGTCGACGAGAACGTTATTTCCAGCACTAGTTCTGTGATGAAATTCAAGAGAAACGGAGATAGTGGATAGTCTTTACGGACACCACCTGAGGCTGCAAAATTAGACGACAGTTCGCCATAAGCTCTCACTCGACTATTAGTTTGAGAAATAAAAAGCCTTCAGAAGTTTTTGTACTTCTTTGGTACGCGTTTCAATTACAGACACTGCCAGAGCAACTCTCGTCTACAGAGTCAAATGCTGCTTTTAAGTCAAGAAAAACTATCATTGTTTTAAATATGTAGTCAATGCAGCCAGGACCAGGTCTGAAGCCAGTCTGATATTCTCGTGCTTGCAGTTCACGAGTGTTTGTTAGACATCCGATAATTATTTCGGCTAGTGTTTTCGATGGTATGTTAGTCAAACTAATCCATCTATTGTTATCACAAGGTGATTTTGATCCTTTCTTATATATTCTGATGATCAGTGATTGTGACCAGTCAGATGGGACTACGTCCAACTACCAGATTTTTGCCAAAATATTAGTCAACATAATTGCTAAAACTGGACCACTATCCTCAATGACCTATCCATCCAATCCATCTGGACCAGCTGCTCTCCCTCGTTTCAGATTAATTTTAGATTTTCGGTCTTCAGTCGGAGTCGGGGGCCTACTTCAATGTTCCATTCAGGCTGTTTTGGAATGGTGGGTAGTTGTCGAGTAGCTGAAGGCCAGCTGAACTGCTCCCTCAATTGTTCCGCCAATCGTTCGAAACGTCTGAGCTGAGAGCAGATAAGAGTGTTATCTTTTTCCGAGATCGTCTCACTTGCACTTGACTTCTTAATCCCAGTGTCTTTTATTATTCCGAAAAGTTGTCTTGTGTTACTTACCGCCGCTGCCTTTCCCATCTCGTTTGCTTTCATTACGCACCACTTCTCACGATCGTTCCTCAGACTATTTGTTGGCTTAGATGTGATTTGTTTTCGCTCTTTGTTGTGTTAAGAGACTGATGGGATGAGTTTACTAGAATCTATCAGTGCAATAGACTTGGTAGGAATCCACTGGTTTTTCGTAACCCTTTGGTTAGAATAATAATAATAATAATTATTATTATTATTATTACACATAGATATTGATACAAGGAGGCACCAAATAATATGCGCCACACAAATCTCATTTGATTTGTGTGATGGCTGTGATACTGCCCGGGTGCCCAGACCGAAGCAGGAGAATAGAATACTAATAGGTTTCGCTGCTGTTTCCACAGCTGTTTGTATATCTTTCCAAGTAACATCTGGGTCAGCTTCGTTTTCAGAACTGCGTAAGTGTGACCTCAATTGTTCCTGAAATCCACTTTTGGCTTCCTCGTCACTAAGTTCAACTATAATGAGTCTTCTTAATGTGGATTGTGTGTGTCCAGTGAGGCGCAAGCAAATGCGTGTTCATATGATTGGAGTCGGAACAGGTATTCCAGAACGAGTGGTAGTCTTCTATTGAGCCTCTCCAAAGATGACTGATGGCAATATGGTCTATTTGAGTCCACCGTTGGTTTGGTGCAAGGGTTCTCCATGTTAGACGATGTCTTTTTCTATGCTTAAAATTAGTGCTTGCTAAAAATAAACGATTGTCTGAGCACGGTTGCAGCAGACGGTTACCATTATCTGTTCTCTGAGCCGGAATATCAAAATACCCATCTAAATGTCTTCTTGTTTGGTTTAAGCTACCTACTTGGTCACTAAAGTCATCTGCTATGTTTCACTCGATTCAATTTTAATGTATTTGTATCTCAGTGTTGTTGTTCACAATGAAATTCAAACTCAGTATCTTTCACTCCAAAGATTTTACATATTATCCATTAAGTTTAATTAGATAATATCTTGTATAACTGGGAAATTCAGAAATCATTAAAAGGAAAATCATTTTTTGTGATTTATTTAAATTTATACTAAGGGAAACGATATATTGTCTGTTTGTAAAAATTGCTCCTTCAGTTACGAATAAATCATTCGATGTAATATCAAACTGTTTTTGAATTGTTAGAGTAGGGTTATTAAGATTGTTGAATTTAGTTGAAATGGCAACAATTAAAAACCTGAAA